AATTGAGTCACGACAGCCCCCGGACGTTCCGCCGTCTGGTTCGGGGGTGTGACACACCACCACTTTACGAAACCCGAGCACCAAAGAAAAAGGATCATACATTGAAGCCATATAAGAAGGATCATCATTGCAAACCCAAGCTCATCCATTTCTCAGATCTTACATCGTCAGTTTACACACATCAACGAAGACGACACTGCAAACCCTAACTCTACAAATCAAGAGATAAACTAAGTGGTAGGAGGCACTACAAACCCTACATCTAAAAAAAAAACCCTAAATTGATATCATCACTCTACCTCGTCATAAATGCACATAGATCTGATGAAGAAACAAAATTTGAAGGCAAGATATCGATTGATGGATTGTATGTGTCTATTCATGTTTGAAGGCAAGACATAAATTTCTTTGGGAAAATGACATAAATGCCCTACGAACTTTATAGGGTTTACCCGTTGAGTCCCTAAAGTTTTTGTCGAGCTTTATGGGTCCCTAAACTAAGATATGACATGCTCTTTTAGTCCATGTCAACCTGAAATAGCCGGTTCAATGACCTTTTAGACCAAAAAAACTCATTTTGTGCCCCTATAAAGCCAAAAAAAATAAGTTCGGGAATCAATTCGTACAAAAAATCTCTTATTTTCTTCTAAAGCTGATTCACACTCAATTCGTATTGATCCTCAAACTTATTTTTTTGGCTTTATAGGGGCACAAAATGAGTTTTTTTTGGTCTAAAGTGTTACTGAACCGGCTATTACAGGTTGACAGGGACTATAAGACCAGGTCATATACTAGTTTAGGGACCCATAAAGTCTAATAAAAACTTGAAGGACTTAATGGGTAAACCCTAGAAAGTTCGTAGGGCATTTTTGTCATTTTCCCAAATTTCTTTCTTTAATTTATGGGATTTGTATATTATCTATGAGATGAACACAAAATTAACTCTGAAAAATCTAGGTGCTGTGTGCTACCTGTTAACTCTTAATTAAATAGATTAACTATGGAAAAATAATTTAATGTTTTGGGGTGTTGTGTTGAATCTAGTTCAAATCTTCATCTTCATTTGGTTCTCAGATTTTCATCTCATTTAGCCTTGTATATATGCGTATGAAGCTTAAAGATATATATATATATATATATATATATATATATATATATATATATATATATATATATATATATATATATATATAGAGAGAGAGAGAGAGAGAGAGAGAGAGAGAGAGAGAGTATGAGAGAGAGAGAGAGTGTATGAAGTTGGTTCAAATCTTTGATGGTGGTGGTGATATTCCATTTTTCTGAAAATCCGAACTATAAAGAGAGAGAGAGAGAGAGAGAGAGAGAGAGAGAGAGAGAGAGAGAGAGAGAGAGAGAGAGAGAGAGAGAGAGAGAGGATGGGTATTTTATTTTTCCCTTTTTTATTTCTATAATAAAAATTTTGATAAAAAAATACAAAGTTGACATCATCATTTTAAAAGAAATTTAAACCAAATTGGAACAAAATCGCAACAAAATCAATGGTTTGGACCGTTGTTGTTAGTCCAAACGTTTTTTAACCAAAGTGATAACTTTCAACATACCACATTTTACAGTTTTTTCTAAAAGCTTTTAAACCATAGAGACTATTGTTCATGTCCTAAAAAATTAAGGACTGAACTCGAGTATTTTGAAAACGACATAGCTGGTTTTTATTTCAATCATTTTGAGAGAAAAGAAATATTAACCAAACAACCCATATATTTTTTCAACTGACAGATCAGTCATTAAAACCATATTATTCTAATTATTGTGGACCACCAAATATATATAGAAACATATTAAATTGAAGTATTTGAAACACGGAAAAACAGACGGTATAAGAATGCACATGTGACATTTGCATTTTTCGAATTTTATCTGTATCAACATCCTAACGCTCTATACAGCCTTTGCCATCAAGATTTTGCTTCAAAATGTATATTTAAATTAATAAATAATTTAAATATCCACATAATATATGAATAAAACTAAAATAAACAAAACATATGGTCCATGTTATAATCGTTGTTTTGGATGTGGTCCAACGAAGAATTTTGTTGTGGGTTTCATTTTATCTTGGGTTTGATCCTGTCTAAAGTTTTCCGCTAAATGGCGCGTGAAATATAATCATTGTTGTTATGTTTAATTTATATTATTATTATTATTATTATTATTATTATTATTATTATTATTATTATTATCCATATTTCTTCGCATCACATCAACATCTCCACCCTTATTTTAGCCAGGAAACTTTATATCTAGTTGTTTTTCGTCGATCACAAATGTACATGGAAGGAATAATATTAATCATGGAGGATTTGGACGTTCATAATGGTCCTCTGAGAAGGTAGTAACCTCTCCTTTTGGTATCAATATGAGTAGGTGTGAATTTGCATGATGTCATGAAGGTATAGTCGAAAATATATATTGCATACTTCTTTTGACGTTCAGACCGGATTTGAAGTCAAGAAGTAAAGAAGATGGGAGCCCCTTAATAAAAATATCATAGTACAAATACGAAGAAGGAACGTGAAGAACGCGAATTAGACAAAGAGGCAGTGAGAATAATATCATTCACATATAATAATATATAGGTTGTATGCTTGCCACCTTGGTAAATAAATAATGAGGAATCACATTGGGCGCTTTACAAAGCCATGACTGAAAAGGAACAAAGCAAATTATTGAAACTAAGCCCAAGGAGTTTGCTTAAGGCCATATAATGATCGGTGAAGTAAACATACGTGATTAAAGTGAGTTGGGTCTCGAAAACCGGTAGGTTGTGGCATATATATATATATATATATATATATATATATATATATATATATATATATATATATATAGACACACACACACACACACACACACACACACACACACATTTTCGTGTAAATGCCCACGTAGAAAAGCGTTTTTAACATTGAGCTATTGAACCGACCAATGTTGAGATACAACTAGAGAGAGAACACTATGTATTGTGGCCAACCGGCCGGTTTAACGACAGAGTTGAACGTCTCATCACAACTAATTATTGGTTGTTAACTACAACCATTAGCTACCACATGCACTTTATAACGAGCAAGAGACCCATAAACATGTTTGTTCTTTTTAAACAATCAAATGCAATTAATAACATTAGCATTTGCAGGATAAGGCACAAGAAGCAACATTCTATTAGAAATAAGAGCTTGAAATCCGTCTTACATTGCTTACATCTAGTTAGGATCTTTAAAGGCAAGTAATTAATTTTAAGCGACAAGATTTTTGGATTGAGTGTGAAGATTAAGCTTATGAATGGGTTTAATGATTTCGTGATGTGCAGTGTCATCATAGGATGAGTTGAAGAGGTTAAAGGAGTCGAGGCATTAGATGGAGGTGGAGAAGTGGACTCGGTTTTTGTAGGAGATGATGGTTGATTGGGAGGAGAACTAGTAGGAACCGGATTGGAACTAGTAACCGAGGAGTGAAGAAATTCTTGAGCAATGGGGTTTGTGTCATCCTTGTTGTCAAGAAATGTGTAAGAAGATTCTGTATCGGGTATCATGGATTCGAATGGAAAGATGGTTTCATCAAACTTAACATGATGAGGAATGGTAATGGAGTTCTGAAGAAGATCAAGACACCAAAAACCTATATGATTAGAAGTGCATCCAACAATAATAAATGGAGTGAATCAAGGTGAGACTTTGTTTCGAGCATTGATGCCTGGGAAACAAAGGCACCTAAACACTCTAAGATGATTGTACAAAGGATTTTAGTTATAAAGTTTTTGATATGGAGAGATGTTATTGAGAGTTGTGGATGGAAGAAGGTTGAGAAGATGAGTGGGTATGTCAAGAGCCTCGACACAATATATAGGATGGGAGAGAGCTTGAAAAAGGATAGAGCGGATTGAGCTGTTTATGGTATAGATCATTATAGCTTTCAGACTTCGTATTTTTTTGGGAAGTGTATGAAAACAAAAAACACATCTAAATTCCATGAGACTCATATAACATGTGGAATTGGGTTTTGTTATATTCACCACCATTATCATATTGAAACGACTTAATTTCACAATTAAGTTGATTTTGAACAAAAGATTGAAAATTGACAAACTTAGAGTAAACATCAGATTTAGATTTCAACAGGTACACCCAACGAAAAAGAGAGTATTGATCTAAAAATAACACATAATATTTAAAACCCGAATTGCTATTAATATGAGATGTCCAAACATCAAAGTGAACAATTTAGAATGGACAAGTAGCTATAGTACTAGAAACTTTAAATGGAAGACACACATATTTGGCTAACTAACAAGACTGACATGAAGAAGATAATTTATTGTTTTTATATGGAATCAAAATTTGTGAAATTACATGTTGGAACACGTCATGATCGGGGTGAGCAAGACGTTGATGCCAAGTTGAGTAAGATACAAGAGCTTGAGGAGATGAAAGTGTGACATAGTATAGATTACAATGTTGTCACAACAGAGGAGAGTTCTGCGAGTTTCAAAATCCTTCACCAAAAAGTCAAAAGCATCAAATTTTATAGAGCATTTATTGTAAGTGAATGTATGAATAGATATATGTTTTAGATGATTTGAGGTGTGATGATAATGTTTTTAAGGACACGGGGATGATATAGGTTGGTATCGGAAAGAACATAATGTTCTGAAGTACTTACATGAATTTTAGATCCATTTTCAACTAAAACTAAAGGAACAATAGATCTTTTACTGCTAAAAGAGTAGAGTATACCTAGCTTAGAGTGAAGATGTGTGGTTGCCTGGTGTCTATAAACCACCCGTTGTTGGACGGATCATTTAATCTCATTGTATTGAACATTTTAGGTAAGGTTGTTGGCTGATCAACATCAATGACGGGTTGTTGTAACCAGGCCCATGGAGGAGTTGTGGAGTCCAAAGGGGAAGCAAAGGCTGGCTATGAAGGAGGCTGATGAGCCAACTGTTGTTGTTGTTGAGCCGACTGTCAATGATGAGGGCGATGGAGTTGTTGTGGAGCCCGAGTGGATTTTAAGCTGCTGATTGATGGAAGGTGGGCTTGGAAAAATACCTTGGGAAGCATGGAATCGAAAAGCAACAGGTTGGAAATGGAACAAAACTTAACCCCACCTGAAATGAGCTTGGAACGATCGACCATCACCATCGCAACCTCTTTTACGACCACTATTATAACTGCCATTCCAACCCCCACAGTAGCCGATATCTTGACCTGATTGACAACCACAAATGGTATTGGAATTTCCAGCCTATTGAGAAACAAGAATAGCAGGAAACGAAGCATTACCCAGCTGATTTGTAGCAAGTTGTGGTTCTTCAAAAAGCAAGACAGTGTTGGATTAAGGTGTCTAAGTGTGACAACCGTCAAAAATTTGAGTCGGCTATAAATTTGACTAAACTTAGTTGCACATATAAGAACGACAAATATTAGACTTAGTAACTAGAAGCTAAGTTATAGACTACTAGAAGCTTAGAAACAATTAGAAATGATGGACAATGTACTTAGATTTCACATTGTTATGTGAATTCTATAACTACTTAACTATAGTGATTATCCATATTCGGGTCACTCTTTAACTTGAACACCTTTTCATGAACCATATTAACACATCATGCACTTGACCTAGTGGTATAAATTAGGTCCGAGTCTCGTAGGAACTTAAGTTGAAGTTGAAAACTAGGGCTAGTATACTTGATTCCTCAATTTCAATTAAATGTCAAAACCACTACATAGAATGCCAATAAACCGATAAAATAAGTTACAAACATTATTTATAACTATACAAGAATTATAATAACATAAGATAATTCGAAGTCTCAATGATTCTATTGAATTTAATATCCAAAGATTTATAAACTCTTAAAAACCCTAAAAAGCCCTAAAAACACATATTCATAAAGTTGAACCTTAAAAATTCTATAAAAATAGTTATGAACCTTATAATATTATCTTATAATAATTAAAACTTTGAAAATTCATTAATGGAAAGTAAAATTGAAGTCATTAAGCAATTACCCTTAATTTATAAGTCAAAAATCAAGGTTTCGTGAACAAAAACTTAGTTAGGGTGTATATTTTATAAAAAGATTGATATATTTATAAAAGAATTGAAATTTTTATAAAATTAAAAGAGAGGGACGAAATTATAACCTCAAAAGCTGGATCTCTCTCCTCTCTCTCTCTTACTTGAAAACCGTAATATGCCATTTCCCTAAAATTGGAATCACTCTCTCAGTCTACCTCTCATCCTCTCTCATTTCTCTCCACCACCACCACCATTTTCTCTTATCCTCCCTCCTAACCACAAAATTTTACAGAAAACAAACCCAATAACACTCCTTAAAATCAAAATCTTCATCATCTAGTGGTGTTCATTAAGGTTGAACACAATTTTCCTTCTTCTACTTCTACAACTTCTTTAAACTTGTTTTATTTTTTGTTACAATGGTTTTTAGAACATCATGTATGTGTTTTAACACTATGCATTTATGTTAAAAAAAGGTTACATGTTCATTATCTTAGTGCAAAAATCGATTTTAAGGATCAAAACATCAAACTCATTTTTAAGAGTTCTTGAGAAATAGGATTTTTGTATTTTAATACATGTATGTAAATTATGATTTTTAAATATATTAGATCTCTGGAAACATGACCATAATATTCATGGATCATGATATCTTTAAAATATTTCAAAAGATTTACTCAAAGAAATGATGAAAACTCAGTTTTCTAACCAATCATCATGCATGCAATCTGCCAGATTTCTTTACCTGAATTTAAACTACCATATCTCACTCATTTATTAACCAAAATTGGAGATTCTTTTTCTAAAATATAATATTTTGAGTTAGCTTTCAAACCCATCTGACCTCAATGGAAAATTCCAATATTTCTATTTTTAGCAATTTTTACAAACTGTTGCTCAATCAGCACCTTTTTGTGAATACTTGTTTTGTATTGCATGTTCAAAGATATTATTCCTCACTAAAAATTTAGGAAAAATTAATTTGAGCACTTAACATATTTTGGGAATTTTTCAATATGCATATCTATTTTTCCATGATTTTTGTGTTTATAATGGACTAAAACCAGGAAACATAGTTTTACTCATCCAAATTTCATGACAATTTTCCAGAGCATCTTTTAATATATTAGGATGCTACATAAATTTTTGATGATTTGTCTCATCTATATGCTATATTTCTTTTATTTTCTCAAGATTTAATACACTTAAATCCATAAAAATCATAAAATTAGGCTAAACAGTTTAGAAATTCATTTTGATATTTTTCCCACATTAATAATCTTTAATAACAATATTACAAAAAGTTTGGGTAATTTTGGAAACAATATTCTATTTATTTTAATTTTTATTAGAATAAATGCACAAAAATCATAAAATTAGGTTAAACGTCTTAGTAATTCATTTTTATATTTTACCCAGCTTAACTATGATGAATGGCAATATCATAAAAAGTTTGGCGATTTTTATTATTTGGATGCTATTTTTCACGAATTTATATTGTTATGAAGACTTCAAATTTTGGAAAAATAGTTAATCAAATAAAAAATTCAAAGAAAATTTTATGGAAGACCTCTACCGTATTTAAAATGAAAATCCAAAGTTTGACAATTTTTGGAAACTATTTGATAACATTTTGACTTTTTAAGAGCTTAAAACATATTTAAATGTGTTGAAATACTTCAATTAATATTACAAAAATCTGGAAATTAATATCCAAAATTGTCTTAATCACATAAGTTATAAAATTTCACCATTTCAGAAAAATGTTTGAAACTTATCAATATTAAATTTTGACACTATATTGACATAATTCTATTGAAGTAGTAAATATACTAGTATTAGATTTCAATTAGAGACTAATTAGCATGTAACATCGTTGTAGGAAAACTGTAGTCGTACGAGTGGAGCATAGTTCAAGGCACCATTTGCATCATCTCAATGTATTGTGAGTATTCACCACTCCCCTGTTTTCGGTTTTTAAATGTTTTAGGATGGAAAAGCATGTCTTAAACTATTTATATTCGTTGTATTTATTTGACTCTTATAAACTTGGTTGCTATATTTTGGATATTGTGAGTATTCATGACTCCCCTATTTTTGGTTTTTTAAATGTTTTGGGGTGGAAAAGCATGTCCTAAACTATTTATGTTCATTGTATTGATTTGGCTCGTATAAACTTGGTTGCTATATTTTGCATATTGTGAGTATTCACGACCCGTATTTTACGTTTTTAATGTTTTGGGGTGGAAAGCATGCTACAATTTCTATGAACATTATTTTATGAACTTGTGCTATGAACTATATGATATGAACTTTGTTGTATGAACCTTGTATTATGAACTCGTACTATGAATTTGATGTTATGAACTTGTATGATTAAGTCCCCGGAGAATCGATGCAACCTATTAACTCATATTCGAGTCGATGGTCTTATGGATAATGCTATTTGGGGTTGAAAGCCCCCACTCGTTGGGAACCGCGATTGCCTATTTCCATGAACTGACATCATGGGAACCATGGACATGATGGAATGGGGCAGGAATGGTCATTAGGCTTGGGTTGTGAACTCATGAATGGAAACTTGATGCACTTACGAATCTTATATCGTATTTTACTAACGAAACTTGTATACTCATTTTAGCAACGAAACTTATATACTCATTTTAACAACAAACTTTTATTACTGGAAACTTATATACTTGCTTTAGCAATGAAATTGTTTGCTCCTTGTAACAACGAAACTTTTTTGCTCATTGTAGCAACAAAACTTGTTTACTCATTTTAGTAACGAACTTTATTTCCCATGAGAATATGAACGTTACATCTCATTTGGGCAACATACTTCATTTCTCATGATGACAATAAACTTTGTTTATGAAAACTTATTTACTCATTTTTGGAATATATTTTCATTTATGGAAACGCTTATCATAACTTTGAGTTCTATTCATGAAACTAATATTATTTTTAAATCTATGGGTACTCACCAACTATTTTTATAGTTGACGCTCCTTTTACATGCCTTTTCAGGAATCCTTTAGTAAGAGGCACATAAAGACACATCACTTTTAGGAGCATGCATATGTGTTGTATTTCAATTCACATTGTAATTTTTTTTTAAAAGTTGTTCAAACCCATTGTAAGTTTATAATGCTTTTAATACTATGGTTGGTGTTGCCTTTATCTTTTGCTATGAAACCCTTTGTACTGCCACGCCCTGTATTTCCGCTTTAGCGGGGTGTGACAGAAATGGTATTAGAGCCAAAGGTTATAGAGAATACCGGTTTTCCTTGGGAGAACCACAACTATAGCAAAAAAATTTCAAAACATTTTTGAAATACTGAACATACTACTGGTATAACTAATTCGAGTACACATTATTAGAATTTAATTAAGTATAGCCTGACCAACTATGTTTAATTAAGGAAAGTTAATGCGAGGCTGGAAACAGTTATAGTAGAATTATGTTAAAAAAATTTCAAATTGAACTTTTGAAAAAAACAAAATTTTTCGGTGTGCGTACGGGCATTGCATATTTTAGGCATTCATCTAGATACACTTAGAAACTAAGTGCACTTTTATAACAATGCCTTTATTTAGAAATACTCTTATCCCTTATGAAGTGCTAGGTTAACCACTTAGGTTATATCACTACCCATTCTAGGAGCAATGCACTTAGTATTGAGAATGAGTATTCATCGGTAGCTATTGACTTTACACATAAGGTTAGTGGCTAGATAGACACTAGTAATAATCTTAAGTCGAAACCTATACCAATTATACCTCAATACCTCTTCATCGTCTTCGAACTAGAGTTACAAATAGAAAAGCGTTCTGATACCGACATGGATAAGAATTGGAGCATCATTAGAAAGTAGATGAGTCGCCACTAGTAAGCACTTGGATACCATTGGCAAGCATTCCCGATTCGACTCAAAAGTAGACACAAAGGTTTAACCCATTGCTACTGATACGCAAGGCTTCTCTTCTATGCTACGATTTAGCTCTAGGTTGTTTCCAAATTAAGCTTAAAACTTAACATAGGATATCCCTTTGACCTCTATAAAAGGGCGTAAATTGCATTGACACCATAAAACATTTTACAAACAATTTTTCTTATCCTTTATCTTGGGGAAAAGACATAGATACTCACCTTATACTCGCCTTAGTATTTAGGTACGATCAATCACACTAATCTACCTATTCCTTAGTTCTTAATCTTCCATCGAAAAGTTATTTAGCTTCGTTGGTTTTATTT